TAATTGAAATAAATATTTATAATCATATTTAGATGATATTTTACGCTTTTTTGTTTAAGTGAAGGAGTCGAAAGTGTGGTGTTTCTTTCACACTTTGTCACATCTGTGCAAAGGAAATCCTTAAGCCCACATGGTAACAAATTGCATACTTGCATCTAACATTTTGTCTCCTTGTTAAAAGGTTAAAACCCAGTACCTTCAGGCGTGAATGGTTTCGTGAATGGTTTCGTTGAAAAATATCTGTATATAGAATAGACATATCATTTCAGATGTAAAGGTGTTATCATGATTAGCACCATAACATGTTGGAATACGGTATTACGTGATACATATTATTACATATCCATGGCAACAGGTATAAAGATAATCTTAAAATAGTGAAAGTGTGATGATTTCAGACATAATTATACTGATGTAAGTATTCGTGACATTTCGATGTTCATTAAACGGCACAATTTAAAGGCCTCACTTAAAAAACATGGTGGAAAACGTGAATTAAATTACAGAAAGATTCTTGTTGTTTGTTAACTTTGTAAACTGACACCTATTAGTAGATGTATATAATTTAGGAGAATAGATTCCAGTAGATAATAAAATTCTTAATTGTGTTCATTTAATAGAAAGAGCATCGAAACACGAGGCTATCTGATTTGTATGAGGGGGTGGGGGGGGGGGGTAGCCGCGAGTATAAATCAGAATGTTGATTGTTTTGATGTTCTTTCTCTTTTGTATCATAGTCAAACATAAAAACACATTCCCTGATACCACAATATGACACCCCACAAAAAATTAACCAATGAACGAGCATCTGAATATGATATTTCCATTGCTATCCCTTTCTCTGTCCTCACAATATGTAAACCCGGACAAAATGAACCAATCAATGGGCATGCTTTGGAGTGCGGGTAACTAATACCTGCACTCCAGTTAACTCACTGTGCATGTATATATATATACGATTTAACTCTGTCACATTTTCAACAGAAAGGTCCCCAAACTATGATACAACATCTTGATATACCTAGTGAGGTCACAAAACGGTCTTGATCAGTATTTAAGGTACAAACCCTTGTTTTATTTATTGGTCAGCTTGGAAATTTTTAAAGTATAATTTCAGGTATGAATTAAGTAATAGAAAGAGCATCGTAACACAAGGCTGTCTCATTTGAACAAGGGGGTCTAGGCCCTGAGTATAAATCAGATTGCCAAGTGTTTTGATGTTCTTTCTCTTTTTAGCTCACCTGTCACAAAGTGACAGGGTGAGCTTTTGTGATCGCTTTTCGTCCGGCGTCCGTCCGTCCGTCCGTCCGTCGTCCGTCCGTCGTCCGTCGTCCGTCCGTAAACTTTTGCTTTAAATGACATCTCCTCATAAACCACTGAGCCAATTTCATCCAAACTTCACAGGAATGTTCCTTTGGTGGTCACCTTTAAAAATTGTTCAAAGAATTTAATTCCATGCAGAACTCTGGTTGCCATGGCAACCGAAAGAAAAATCTTTAAATATCTTCTTTTAAACAACCCTAAGAGCTAGAGCTTAGATATTTGGCATGAAACATCTTCTAATGAGTGTCTACCAAGTTTGTTCAAATAAAAGCCCTGGGGTCAAAATTGGCCCCGCCCCGGGGGGGTCATTGATTTTCCCTATATGCATATAGTAAAAACTTAAAAGATCTTCTTTTAAAGAACTGTAAGAGCTAGAGCTAAGATTTTTGGCATGGAACATCTTCTAGTGAGTGTCTACCAAGTTTGTTCAAATAAAAGCCCTGGGGTCAAAATTGGCCCCGCCCCGGGGGTCATTGATTTTCCCTATATGCATATAGTAAACACTTAAAAAATCTTCCTTTAAAGAACTGTAAGAGCTAGAGCTTAGATATTTGGCATGAAACATCTTCTAGTGAATGTCTACCAAGTTTGTTCAAATAAAAGCCCTGGGTCAAAATTGGCCCCGCCCCAGGGGGTCATTGATTTTCCCTATATGCATAAAGTAAAAACTTAAAAAATCTTCTTTTAAAGAACCCAAAGAGCTAGAGCTTAGATATTTGGCATGAAACATCTTCTAGTGAATGTCTACCAAGTTTGTTCAAATAAAAGCCCTGGGGTCAAAATTGGCCCCGCCCTGGGGGGTAATTGATTTTCCCTATATGCATATAGTTTAAACTTAAAAAATCTTCTTTTAAAGAACCGTAAGAGCTAGAGCTTAGATATTTGGCATAAAACATCTTCTAGTAAATGTCTACCAAGTTTGTTCAAATAAAAGCCCTGGGGTTAAAATTGGCCCCGCCCCAGGGGGTCATTGATTTTCCCTATATGCATATAGTAAAAACTTAAAAAATCTTCTTTTAAAGAACTGTAAGAGCTAAAGCTTATATATTTGGCATGAAACATCTTCTAGTGAATGTCTACCAAGTTTGTTCAAAAAAACCCCTGGGGTCCAAATTGGCCCCTCCCCAGGGGTCATTGATTTTCCTTATATGCATATAGTAAAAACTTATAAAATCTTCTTTTAAAGAACCCAAAGAGCTAGAGCTAAGATATTTAGCATGAGACATGTTCTAATGGGTGTCTACCAAGTATGTTCAAATAAAAGCCCTGGGGTCAAAACTGGCCCCGCCCCGGGGGTCATTGATTTTCCTTATATACATAGCAAAAACTTAAAAATCTTCTTTGAAAAAACCCAAATAACTAGAGTTTAGATATTAAGCATGAAACATCTTTAAGTAAATATCTACAAAGTTTGTTCAAATAAAAGCCCAGGGTCAAAACTGGCCCTGCCCGAGGGGTGTCATTGTTTTTTTACTCTATGTGTATAGTAAAAACTTAAAAAATCTTCTTTTAAAAAAACCCAATGAGCTAGAACTTAGATGTTTTGCATGAAACATCTTCTTATGGGTGTCTACCAAGTCTGTTCAAATAAAACAAATAAAAGCCCTTGGGTAAAAATTGGGCCGGGGGGGGGGGGGCTATATACAGGTGAGCGACCTCAGGGCCATCATGGCCCTCTTGTTTATCATAGGCAAAAATAAAAACACATTCCCTGTCATCACCATATGAAACCCCAGAAAAAAATAACTAAATAAATGAGCATCTGAATATGACTTTTCTATTGTTATCCCTTTCTCTGTCGTCACAATAAGTAAACCCAAGAAAGAATGAGCCAATCAATGAGCATGCTGTGGAGTGCAGGTAACTTAAGATACTTGCACTCCAGTTGATGCACTATGCATGTATGTGTGTACGATTTAACACTGACACATTTTCAACAGAAAAGTCCCCAAGCTATGATACAAGCTTAATTTGACTGTGGAATATTCACACCAAAGGACAAAAATGAATTAAACTTATGGTATATTAATTGCCAATCAACTTGATTGTATAGAAATTGCCAATCAAACTGATGGTATCATGCCAATCAAACTGATGGTATAAAAATTGCCAATCAAACTGATGGTATAAAAATTGCCAATCAAACTAATGGTACTGCCAATTTAACTGATCGTATATCCATAAATTAAACAATCTTTGAAAACTTAAAAAGTAGTTGAATATTTTTCCAGAGACGTTTTATTTTGTATTATACAATTCAGATCACTGGATAATGCTATTTTTGCATTTTATGCCCCTTCTTTGGGAGGCATAATGCTTTGCCTTTGTCCTGTTGTAATTTTGCAGACGACGGACAAGACATTGGAATGTCACAAGACATTTGTTTTAGTTTCATTGTGAAGAAAACTTTAATATATAAGAGTATAACTCATTCTGGTCTAATAAGTGCTGATATTATAAGAGGAAACATAGTCATGCCTTAGGTAGGGCTCAAACCCTGTATCTGTTTGAGGGGCAGACACCTTCAACACTAGGTCCCTTTTCGTAATAATTTATGAAATGACTTCAAGAGTTGGGTGGGGGTAGGAAACATTGCAAAATAGAGCAAGATTGGGAAAAAGACGCAATTTGCAATTAGAGAGAAAAAGCATGACTTACTTATGATCTTAATTGTAATGAAATGTGAAGCATGGTGTAAAGGAAATAGTCATCTATAGTGTTGAAAATGTGGGAAGATCTCATTTAAGTGTGACATGAACCCAGCATTTCTAGGCTGAAATCACCTAGTTCCTGTTTCCTTTCTTTGCGTATACACCTTTTCAATATATCATATGCGTACTTCGATTTTCAAAGTTCAAAAGGACAGGAGAATATTTCCTCTTTCTCTTTTGTGAGACACTTTTTTATTTCCTTTTACCAGTATATGATTTTTTAATGTATTGCCAGTGAATTATATTTCCTTAAAGGAAGTAAAAAGCTATGAGTTGACTATGGAAATAATTATATTAATTGTAATGGTTATTTATAAGGCAAAAAATTGTTATGCACCTGGTCATGTAATTGAACCTTTTTTTTGCTAATTGGCCATTTTAAAATGTATTAGTATAGCTTTAATGATAAAGTATTTTGTATGGAAGACAAAGTTACACTTCGTTTGTGTTTATATATGCTTCTAAACTTATGACTATGACAATTATTTTGCATTTAACCCTTCTTTCTTCTCATGGTCAGCATCTAACATGCTCAAAATCTCATTTAAAACTGATATGCTACGCTCATCCTTTTGTAAAATACTTTTAGCACAGAAATTTTTTGATATCTATGAAATTCTTACGGAATAAGTTCAACTTGAATGAAAGAATGATATGTATCAGACGCTGGGTTCCCTATTACAGGTCAAGTAAAATTGGTCTTTTCTGGGGAAAAAAAGCCAGTTTTTTTAATGACACTATAATTATATTCATATAGTGTGTAGAATTTTAAAGACAACATATTTACTTTGTGTGAAGTCAAAACATGTTTATTTAATATTTGCAAAGAGACTGTGTAGCAATTATAAATATTATCAAATATAGTACTATATCTTTATTATAAAACATTTGTCTGCCTTTTTTTTAAGAGAAAAATCTTAATTAATTTCTAAGATGTTAAATGATATTTTGTGGTATATGTTTACAGAGCTACAGTTATGTATGACAGACCAGCTCATATTTTCAAGGAGACAGCATTGAACGATCGCCATAAACTGTTCACTAGATTAGCCGAAGAATATGATGTGTTTAGACCAAAGTAAGTTACTTCAATTTATTATCTAAATTCTTAGCCTACTGGTGGAAAACTGAAAGGACCAATGCAGGCCAAAATCAGCTAGCACATCTATGCCATCTTATTATGGTCGGACTAGTGTAGTAATATCAGCTGATAGCTATTTTATAAATACATAATATTGGGCATGCTCAGTAACATGTCTAGCCAGTGTTACGAAGTTTGGGATTTTAGGAGCTTGTAGAGTATAAAGGTCACTTAGATGTTTGTGTTATATCACTATTTTGTGAAGTCTACTTGCCAACAACAAAACAGAATTTTGAATGATGAATGGTTTAGCCAGGATTGAATGATGGACAAGGCCATTCAAAATATTTGGTGTGGTAAGGTTTAACTTTAATGACAAAAAGGAAAGAAAGATTCATTGATAACGCACATAAGAAAAGAAGAGAACAAGATTGTGTTAACAAAAGTTATAATTCTTAATATAGCGTCAAAAATTTAAGTTATAAAAGTAGAAGTTTTTTTGTTAGAACCTACATGATTTTGGGCGTCCATTGACGAAGTGGTTAAGGTGGTTGACTTCAAACCACTGTACCCTGACTGCTGTGGGTTTGAATCCTGTTAGGGAAGCTATCCAGCTAGCTAATGGAACATCAGTCGTTCTACTCAGCTGCTGAAATAATGTTGCCTGAAATAATGTATAGAAAGGCACCTGAATTCTTCCTCCACCATTAAAGTTGGAAAGTCGCCATATGTCAGTGATACTGTTGTTCCATGTTACACTGAACAAAACAAACAAACATACATGATTTTACAGATTGGAAAAAGAAATTTTTACTAAGATTGCAGAGAAAAATTGTTTTGTCTTAATGACCAAGAGCATTACTGCATGAAATAAAGGTTAAAGGGAGATAATACCTTCTAAGCAAGTGACATATTTTGTTGTAGTAAAGTCCCTTTGAATACAGTACAAGTGAGATGTAATTATGAGATTTAAGAAAATCATTAAATTTTAATGATATTTGTTGTTTCTCTTTAATTTTGTTATTTATCCTGTCATTATTACTGTTTTTTAAGGGAAAAAAATTTCTGTGAGGTTTTAGGTTGCCTTGACATGGTTAAGGTCATTTGTTGACATTCCAGCTTTACATATGAATGAAAACTTTCTGAGCCTTCCTTGCTTTATTGCAAGCACTAAACTTATGTAGATATGCTAACTATTCATAAAGATAAAATTCGCTCCTCTCAGGTTAAAAAGCATAAAAACATAAACTTGAAATACTTACATAGATAAAGACTTATTAAAGCACTTAAATTTAATAAGTTTCATTAATAATGAAATAGACTCAGAATTAAATTGAATATCAAATTTTTGTGTGATTCTTAGCCGATTTTAGTGAAAAGCATTGCCACAATTTTCATTTTGGGTAATTTTGATTCTGGAAAAACAAGGTTAGGGACCAGCTGATCTGAAAATTTCACACAAGTTACTGGTTAAGACCTACATCAAATAGTACAAAATTCTAAGAAAATTATTTCAAGTTCTGTCATGTCAAAAAAAAACTCAGTGGAGTCCCTTTAATAATAATAATATAGAGTTATAAATCATACTGTTTAAACATGTATTTCAGGAGTGGCACAGTGAGTTCAGATGAGACAGCTTTCACAGTAACCAATGGCAACGGAGATGCATATTATTTACAGAGTCGTCCAGCAATGGTCATCAGTAGCACAAGTTGGACAGGTCAGTTTAATTTTTTGTGACCTAGAAAGAAAATAGCAAAAGGAAATATTTGAAAATCCAGTAAATATGATGAAAAAAATACCAATGTCATGTTAAATTATTTTTTGTGGGGTTTTAAATCAGATATTATTTTTTGTGATACAAGTGCAGAGTTCCCATTTATGAAAAAAGTATGACTCTTTATAGGTGCATGTGTGTACTTAATATGGTGAATAATTTCTTTTAGAAAAAGATTGTTACATATGACTTGTAACAAAGTTTATATTTATATTTTTGATCTACATGTTATTAAACTGTGAATAATATTTTTGTATTTATTTCAGAGGATGAAGATTTTGGGGTTTTATTAGCTGCACTGGAAGGTAAAATGAATTTTTTGACTTAGAATTTACGTTAAAGTTTTTGTAATACCTCAAATATTTTCATAGTTCATTGACATAAGGCTTTGAAACATGTTGAAATTTTATACTCTTCTTTGAGAGCATAATAGGACTCTCTCCAATGCCTATAACTGTAATATGGATTTAAAGAAAAATTTTGCCTTTTTCTTTACAGAAAATTTTACCTTTTAATCAAGGCTTTTTTTACTATCAAGCACTAAGAAAAGTCAAGCGTTGCTGTCCTACCGACAGCTATTGTTTTTAAATAAACTGTTACCATGAATTATAGTAATACATGTATAGATCAGCTATAATAGATATTTCTATGTGACGTCAGCTTATAAAAGTCAGATATTTTTGATTTTCAGCATATGAGAAGCAAGTATCAACAAAATCTGCAGATTTACCAAATATAGTCTGCATTATTACAGGTATACTGTAAATTTGTTATTTTATAGTGACTTGACTGAAGGTTTTTTGATATGACAGGGTTGGAAAAAGTTTTTAGAGGTTTCTGTACCATTTGATGTAGATCTTGGCTAATCTCTTGTGTTCAAAAGTTAAGATTATTTACTCACACAGTTTTTTCAGAATGATTATTTTTATTTCAAAAAATGATTTAGATGACCACCACCAGCTGCTTTGAATTTGGCACAGTTTATTAGTTACTGAAGGGAAGCTAGCTGTTTAGAGCTTGCTCAGACTACACAGATTTTCAGGCTGACAAGGCTCTATACAGGGGATCTGTGTTAAACAATTACCTGATGAATTAGTGTAATAGATTAACCCTGCTTTGAAATTAAAACAGTCCATTCAATGTTTTAAGTGATTTTATGACAAAAACAAATATTGAACCATCAATACTGTAGAACCTGGTCAGACTACAAGAAAATGCCAGTCTGACTAGTGGCTCTATACTGGTGGCAAAGGTTAAGGTTAAAGCCTATTTGTTGTTGCAGCTAGAGTTTTAAGTGTTTGTATATTATTTATTCAATGTCTCCAGACTTTATAAAAAATTACCAAAATAGATGTGATAATGTTGTTTTGTGCTTATTGTATGGTAATGAAATCTCAAATGAGACAATGTTTTTTTGTATACAAAAAGTAACATTTTACGGTCAGATTCCAAGTAAGAATTATACAAATTGTTAATTCACAGGTAAAGGGCCTTTAAAGGAATTTTACAGAGAAAAGATAGAATCACAACACTGGAATCATGTATCATTTTGTTTACCTTGGCTTACACCAGAGGATTATCCCCTCTTATTAGGTAAGTTGATTAATCTTTCATTTCTTTTTAGCTTGTTTGTTCTGAAGAAAAAGTCGAGCTATTGTGATTGATTGGGCATCGTCGTTGTCGTCATGCAAAAACTTTTATTATGTAGCCAATTACTCGAATACTTGTTTATATGACAAGAAGCAGTTGTAAGAGCTATATTTTTGGAGTTATGCCCCTTTTCTATTTAGAATTTTATGTCATTAGAGGTTATTTTAACAGATGAGCGTTTACACCACAATTAACACAGTGGTACTCTTGTGTTAGGTTTTAAGTCACACAGTCACTGTAAAGGTCAAATAGCACATTTCCATTCTTACTGTTGTATTGTACCATCTTGCATTATCTCTGGCACAGTCAGGCACCTTATGAATGGGAGTTATCTATCAAAGTTAGCTTATTTAATGATACAGAATAATTTTCTTTAAGGATACATTAAAAACTGTAGCTAGAATAAAGAAAAAGTATATAAAACTGTGTTTGATAATTTTGATTTGTTTCCCATTTGAAAAAGTGATTGCAAAACAAGTGTCTACAAGTGTTTGAAAAGAGTTACTGAATGAGTGTTAGTCTATAATTATGCAGCTGTTTGATATTTCATTCTGGTTCTAATGAATTCGTTATTTTGGTATTTTAGCTTTTGAAAAGTCAGTGACTTACTGACTTACTGATTGTTGGCTACTTGTGCAGCTCTTTGATTTAACCTTTTTTTTATTATCTTATTTTGTTTTTCATGTACTTGACTGTATAAAAAAAGATTCATTTCTTTATTTTAGGGAGTGCAGATCTTGGTATATGTCTACATAAGTCATCCAGTGGCCTTGACCTTCCTATGAAAGTTGTTGATATGTTTGGTTGTTGTCTGCCTGTTTGTGCTATACATTTTAACTGGTGAGTTGTCTCCCCTATTCTCCTGTTTCTGGAGAAGCTATTTTATTAGTTTGTTGGGCATTGAAATATACCAGAGCAAATAATGTTTTTTTAAAGGCACATTTAAGCATTATTTCATTATTCACATTATGAATTCATAAGAAATTAAACAAATTCTTGTGAAGAAAAGACAAACCTGTGTTTGTTAATCTTTAAATGAGGGTTAGGTGCTGATTATAATAATATTTAATCACTGTTAGTTTTCTAATGGCTAAAAAGCCAAAGATGATGCCACATAATTTTACCTCTTTGAATGTATAAAGAGAATGAATATTAGGGAGGTTTAGGGAATATCTTTGGCTGAGTAGCTAAGGTAGTTGACTTCAAACCACATGCCCCTTACAAAGTTCGAATCCCACCAGGTACTTTGGATTCTTTCATGTGAGGAAGTTACGAAATGTTGATGATTCTACTCAGGTACCCATTCGTGCCTAAAAAATGCTTTGAGATGCTCCTGAGGTCTTCCTCCACTAGTAAAGCTGGAGAGTCGCCATATGACCTATACCGTGTAACTCAACCATAAAAAAATGAGTCTTAATATGTGCTTCTTCATCTGTAAGGCCTTCTTTTTTGTTGGAACAGAAAGGCCACTTAGATAGGTACAGAAATTAATTTAAAAAATCGAAACAATTTATTGTTTTAGGGTAAACAAATATTTTGACACCCGCTATGTTTCGAACAAAAAGATTTAATAGTAATTGAATTCTATCTCTTTATTTGATTAATTTTTATTTCAGTATAAATGAGTTAGTGAAACATGAAGAGAATGGTCTAATATTCAAGGACAGTAAAGAATTATTTAATAATATACAAGTAAGTGAAGAATTGGATGTAGACATTGTTAATAAGTTCTTGATTTTGTCAGTATTTGCTATATTGTTAATATTTATAACGATTACATGTAAGAAGTGGCTGGTACAGTTCTTGTGATACAGTGGCAACTTAATTTATATGATTTATATTTCACTTCCTAGCAATTTGAAGGAATTAATCAGTCTCAAGTAAATTCACAATATGTTTATTTTATAGCAATGAGTTAGTAGTTGTAGTATTTTCTTATTCACATAATTCTTTTATCTCTTAGACATTACTCAAAGGATTTCCAAACAACAGCAAAAAACTTGACCAATTTAGGAAAAATTTGACTGGTTTTCAATCTTCAAGATGGCATGAGTGCTGGACTAAAACTGTTTTACCAATTTTTGAGGACCATTCTGGAAATGCAGCAGACGACAAGAAATCTCAGTGATATTTTTTGTGACAAAAAATTAGTGTTGATCTGTGTTTTCTGGAGTATTTATTTTTTTCTGCATTATTTAAGCTGTACACAAGCCTTGATTAGTATATGAATGTGAAAAAAAAAAATTAAGGTAGTCTCACTGCAATGCTTTCCCGCCAAAAATGTTCTAACATCGGCCAATATCGTAATAAATAAGTCATTTCCGGAACATTATTTTTGTCAATCTTCGATATTCAATAATTTTAACCACTTATAACCAGAATTTAGTACATAGCAATAAAGGATAAGTGATTGTGAATAATTTAATGCCCATGATTTTGAAAAAATAACGTCCCGGAAATAACCAATTTGCTACAATACTGGCCAATTTTAGAATTTTATGGTGGGAAAGCATCACATTTTAGATTACCTTAAACTTAGCAAAGTTTATTACTTTAAGAACAGTTTTAATCATACATAATATAAGTTTCAAAATTTGCATTATTTATGCATATACTGTATAAGTGAATATTTCCTTGTGTCGAAAAGTTATCAAATTTAAAATTTCCGGACATTTTGGGTGAGGAAATATAAACGAATCATGCAAGGGTAGAATGTAATGACAAGTTGGTTGATATTTATGCTAGAGAAAATTTTAGCAATTTTCGTAAGTTTGCGAAATTCGCCAATATTTCCCAATCGTTAACATAACTGTGACTTATACAGTTTATATACTTTATGGTACTAGGGGTTCGAGAGATGTAGCACTTTTACATTAAATCTCATGAACAGATTCCATTAAAGTCTTCATATTTTCATATAATATTGTTGTTTTCATTGCCTTTAAGGGATCCTCATTTCTTCAGACTTTTTTAAACATATGTATCATCATATTTCTAAGCTGTTACTTACTAGACCCAGGTGCCCTTCGTGCCTGAAAAAATGCACGGAAGGGCACCTGAGGTCTTCCTCCACCAGTAAAGCTGGAATGTCGCGATATGACCTATACAGTGTTGATGTGACGTAAAACTCAATCAAACAAACAAACTTACTAGTTAATAGATATTTCTTTAAGTTTGACACAAAATAAATACAGGTACTAATATTATAGCCAGAGCTTAAGCTTAGCTTAAGTCATTTTATTTGTTCTCAAGACCTAGGATATTTTTGTACATTTTCATGAAATCATTGCATGAATCTGGAAGGATCCTGTTTCAAGCGGCTGCAAAGTCTTTCATTAGGCTAAAACTTCATTATATCTAGGACAAGCATTGCTACATGACAGCAGTCCTTCTTTCACAATTGCTAGGAACTTTTTGCAATATTTTAATGAAATTTCATGCAACTGCAGAATCTGATATTCCATTATTCAAAGCTTAGTGCGTTTCCTTAACATACCTTCAAAGACAGTATATTAAAAGTAAAGTCACTTCATACTTCTTTTGTAAAATTTGATAGACTAAGTTCTTTTATGTTGTGGAAAAAACAACAAGAAAAAGCTATGTTTCTCAGAAGAAATAAAACACAAACAAATTTGAATAATGGATTCAAAAGTCACCCATTTATCTTAATATTGTTAGATGAACCCTCTAGTCAAGATTTTTATATTAATTATGTTTTTCTATCAAGCCTAATGTTTCTTTTTGTTTTAAGTACTCTTAAGAATATTTTTAATATTAATGCTTCATACAAATGCCATTTATCATCGAGAAATGTGGCTTGGGGAAGGTTTAATAAGGCAAAGGAGTTATGTCCTTTTTGAATTCTCAATACTGTGGCTTTAATTTGTTAAAACTTTATGTTGTAAACCCAAAACATTAAGTCAGTCAGCTTTCTTTCAAATTTTGAAGACAATATAATCACCAGGATAAGTTACAAAACTCACATATGAGTGCCTTTTATTTGGTAAAACCACTTAAAATGTATGCTACAAAACATTTTTATTTAGTTATACACACATTTTTTATTTTTAAGTTTTCATAAAATTTAACACAAATCTAGAGATGTGATGCTTTATACCTCTTTTACCATGTACATTGTATCTTTAAACTTTGACCAGGAGCAAGGCTTCTTAGGAACAGCCAGCCTAAGTGCATTAAGAGATATGGCCTTACAGTAACACTAACATATCACTATTATGTTATCAAGTATCTAGTTTTAAGATGTTGAATGATGCTTTTCAATGTATTTTTATACAATATTGCATGAGTGTGGGTTCATTACCAAATTTATTGAATGAATGTGAATCAAATTATATTATGCAAGCCTCTGGTAAACATATTATTTCATTAATGATAATAATGATAATTAAGTTCTTTAACAGAGGTAGCTTATTAAGACAATACATCAAAGTATCAAAGAAACACATATAATTCAAAATCTTACTTTCAACAAGGCCTTCAATAAACATAAAAATAGACATACATGTATATCGGTATTAAAGATTATATCATTCAGTACATCTTATCCAACAAAAAAGACTCGAGAAATGTTCAATAAATTTTGTAATGAACCTACATGATTATAATATTTTATTCATCACATACTCTAAATAAAGACTGTTTAACATAAAAAATAATCACTTTTCATTAACACACTTATAGAGTAACACTAAAGTTTAGCTTGTCTTTTCAATAGGTTTATTTAACGCAAATGATGTTGCATAAGAATATAAATTATGCACGGGTGCAAAAAAATATTACCCGAGTCGCAAAAGTGGCAAGGGTATTGTGATAAATGATTATCTTAGATGATCTTGACTAATTTTTATTGTAAAATAGAATTTAATAGCATACAAATTAAATACTTCTGAGTACAAACTGATATACAATGTAATATCATTCACAAGACAGCTGAAGGTGTGTTACGAAATTTTGGGGGAAAAAGCCCAAAACATAACTGCTCCAGTGGCAGAGAAACTGGTGTTACGAAATTTCTCACAGTAGAACTTGACTGCTACATTAGCAGAGAAAGTACTGTGATATACTAGGGCAGTATGTGGCTTAGTGGTTTAGGTGTCTTCCTCTCAACCCAGGAATAATGGGTTCAAGCTACAGTTTTGTATTCTATGGCCACCAAAATGTTTTTTTTCTCATAGTACTGGATAGTCCTGGAAGTAGAAGCTTGGTGGTGGTGTTTTATTCCTCCGAATCACCACAGTAAGCCACGTTGAATTTACCAGAGCACAGTTCAGCCATTGCATTGTTATTGGCAGGCTGTCAAGCAGTTTATCAGTACTAGTTGCCTTCACTTTTGTGAGGAACTGATCACTTCTGTACATGCCAGAGCAAATGTACAGTTGCGGACGATCGTAAAAAAAAAGGATTTCATGATCAATTATAATGAAGGTGGCCTGTACCATCCGTGAATCAAACTCGGCTCGCCTGATTTACAGTTGAGGTAACCAGGTGATGCCAAGCAGAATCTGTCTCTTGAGAGCAATTCAAATATACACAGTCAAACTGAAAATAAGTACATTGTCTGTATTGTAAACAGTAAATCGAGGGGTCAACGCGAAACTAGTCTATCTGACATTTTTTCATAAAAGGTCTTTTTTACAGATTCTGAAAAGTCTTTATAGTCCTCACATTATGTGTTAAAATCTTCCTTTTCCTGTGCATAGTTAAGGACACAAAACATATTTGCCATACTATTGTATCTCAAAAGGCTATATTTGCTCAATGCGAAACTAGTATATCTGCAAAAAATTTACACATAGGCTAGTTTCGCATTAATATTAACATCTCTTTTTAAGTCAAGTAGCCTATGTGAAGAAATTTATATCAATTTTTCTATACAATTGCATTATTTCAATAGGTACATTAATTCAGATCATTAAAATAGTAAAACAACCTTAAAAAATTATTCCAAATCACACACTGTAGTTGGTAATGGCTTGCATTGAAATTTTGTTTAAACTAATATTGAATAATTTTTAAAATTTGTTCAATTCAGGCATTATATTTCTTTAATTATGATTTATTTTAAGTAAGCAAACTGCAAACTAGTGTTAAGAATTTATGGAAACAACAAATTTGAGTTATTTTCAGTGTTTGTCCGTCAGCCAACATACCAAATTTCCGGAATAATTTAAGAAAAACTTGATCTGTTCATAAAAATGTTTAGTGGAGAAATATTTATTTCCTACTAATAATTTCTATGAATTATTGAGCTTACTCCTTAATTATAGCATAATTTGCTGTCCTACATTTTCGACAGCAGTAAATGGTTTCAGCAGTTATTTGCATATTGCACAATAATACTACGGGGGCTACAACGTTTTTATCAATCAAATACGTTCATATTTTAACTTGGGTAACTTAATTCGAAATTGAAAAGGCTAAATATGGAAGTTTTTAAGATATCCCAACAAAGTATGGGAGTTTCATAGGATCAAATTTATGTACTATTTTTTGGGCTGTTATTCGGTTGAGGACAATTGCGCGTTTGTAACCGACAAAATCCCATGTGTAGATGACATAGCTCTAAACGCGCCTAAGGGCACGTCCGTCGCAAAAATGAACATTAAACTTAATATCTGAGATCATGTCACACAGAAATTTCACTTAGCCTGAGAATAGAATCAACACCCCTCCATAATAAATCCAATGCTTGACTGAAATTGCCTTTTGATTTGTATTCAAGATATTTTTCATCTGATTAACCTTGAAATAACTAGAAATGTGTGCAATTTTAGCCATATTCCACTTTTTTCTCAATGTAAGGAAGTCTGACATGACAGCGTCAGCATAACAAGCAAGGGCAAATCAAAATGACTCCATCCTCTTGAACTCGGTACACAGTCCAACAACTTACTGGACAGAATGTTAAAGATATTGATTGAGTGACATACGAATATTACCTAACTCATGAATGAAATTTTTGGTCACAAAAATAAATGACAAACCATATAAAACTTGCATGGTATAAGTTAAAAATTTTAACACATAGTCATGAAAAACACAGTTAACTAACCTAATTACGTATTGCTTCCATAAATTCTTGCCACTAGTTTGCCTTTGAAATCTTTTTGGTTAAAGTATTTCATCTTTGGGAACATGAGTTCCATTAATATTAACATGCTTATCATATCAGTTTGAATAATACGTGTATACCATTATCCAAGAAACTTTCTTGTTAAACGTTTGATACATACATCTTAGTCTAAGCTTCTTCACCCATATGCAAGAAGGGCCGGACATAGTTATGGAAATGAGCTTCTGTCAGGTCAATGATGTGATTTTGTTTCTGATATTGCTAGGAGAGGGAGGTATTCACTTAAGTGACAAGATCCATAAAATCATGATATTTCAGCAGTTTCTATTTCTAAATCAATTTTAACATCATTATAGCAAATCAATGTTAACATACACATGTACATGTTTTTGTTTCTGTTTTGAAGGTCTATCATGTTCTTTTCTCTAGTCCAAAGCAGATAGAATACATTATTTGGGTTACATCTCCCCAAGATTAGAGATGTAAGATTCATCGATGATTTGTTATATTGTGATATAGATGTCCTAGATGTATGCATTAAAACAAAATTTTAAATGGCACAGTGGGTTGACTGCTTTTCATTCTTAGCTCTTCTGTTTCGAATAAAAAATGTTGAGCTGTAATAATGGCTGAGTCGGTCTTGTTTTTGTTGGGAATGTGAAAAATCTTGACTGCAGTCCCAAAAGCAGAGTCGGTCTTGTTTTTGTTGGGAATATGAAAAATATTGACTGCAGTCCCAAATGCAAACAATTTAAAAATTTGAAACTTTGAATATTTGCTTATATTCCATTGTGACACAAGGGACATTAATCTAAAAGCTATATATTTGGTGTCAGATGTCCCTTTTTAACATACAATTTTTATCAAAATTGTTCATTAAATTTAATGATTTAAAGACCATCTAAGATTTCAATGTTAAACTTGGAACGCTTTCATATATCAAAAGAAAGATGTTAGACAAGAGCATTATCCTGCAAGCAAAATTTTTAGGAGTTATGCCCCTTTCCAACTTCGAAACTCTATTAGTTATGTTCCCTCATTGGATAGAAATTCTACATAGCAAAATAGAATTTCTTTCTTCATCAAAAGTTAGCTGAATGACATGGTATGGTGCACAGATTCATCAAAGACTGGTTAACAGGCTTCTGTGAACTGCATCATTTTAAGATTGCAGCCATTGCTGTCTGGGAGAGGAGTGGGGGAAGAAGGGGATGGCCCTTTACTAAATTACCTTTTTATTTAAAAAAATATTTGAAGATGCCTTGTCTGCTTGTAAGTAAGAAGGAAAATTGTCATATTGTAGGATTAAGGATAACATTTGTCATATCCTATTAAGAATTTATAAACAGTAGTTTGTGAAACCAAGTCATGTAATTAATACTGATTTCTATGATACAAATATTATATATATCTATATAATATAAGTAATGTTTCTATTGTTTGCACTGTATGAGTTTAATTAACATTAATCAAATTATAAAATAATTCTTTTCAAGCCTGAACTGAATTTTTTTTCTACCTACTGTATCTCTAAATGAAAGCACAAAAATGCATGTTAATTAAATCAATTTGCTAAAAAATTGATATAACATGAACATTTTCAAAGCTCTGAATGTTTTAATTGATACAACTTTATAGAAATAGAAAAAAAAGAG